CATTTATTTGGAGAGAGCACATGTGTGCAAGTGGGGGAGGGGCAGAGAGAGAGAGGGGGAGAGAATCCCAAGCAGGTTCCAAGCCCAGTGCAGAGCCTGACATGGGGCTTGATCCTATGACTATGAGAGCATGACCTGAGTCAAAATCAAGAGTCAGATGTTTAACCAACGGAGCCACTGAGGGTCCCCTAAACTAAAATCGTTTTTTTGGTTTTTGTTTTTGTTTTTTGAGAGAGAGAGAGAAAGAAAGAAAGAGCCGGGGAGGAGGCAGAGAGCTAGGGGGACAGAGGATCCAAAGTGGGCTTCGTGCTGTCAGCACAGAGCCCAACGGGGGGCTCAAAGTCACGAACCTTGAGATCATGATCTGAGCCAAAGTCGGATACTCAACTGACTGAGCCACCCAGGTGTCCCTAACTAAAATTGTTTTAAATGCACAGTTGTTTTGAATTAGATTATTGGCTAAGCCAGTGGGGCGTATGGGTTGCTCAGTGGGTTGGGCGTCTGACTTAGCTCAGGTCATGATCTCACGGTCCATGAGTTCGAGCCCCACATTGGGCTCTGTGCTGAGAGCATGGAGCCTAAAGCCCACTTCAAGGTCTGTGTCTTCCTTTCTCTGCCCCTCCTCCACCCTTGCTCATGCTCTGTCTCTCTCTCTCTCAAAAAGAAAAAAATATATTTTTTTAAAAAAAGATTATTGGCTAAGCCAGAACAGCGACAACTTCCTCCCCCCTTGCTTCTGTGTGTGCTGTGGGTACACTCATTCCTCTCAGATACCAAGAAGAGTGTTTCCCTTGTCTTTGTAGCCCGCTGACGGTTCAGTGCTTCCTGGGTGCTAGACTTTGCCACCATTCCTTCTAGTAATCCTATTCTTCATTAGAGTTTGTGCTCAAAATAACAACAGCCGTCTTTTGGCAATTAATACAAGCACTGTTCTAAGCACTTTTCATGCATGCACTAATTTAATTCTCATAATGTCCCATGAGATAGATATGATTATTATCCCCATTTTACATATGAAGAAACTGAGGCACAGAGAGATGAACCAGTTTGTTCAAATTTACTTACACCGCTAATAAGGGACAGGGCAGTCTGACTCTGAGTATGACACCAAACTCTGATATAACCTTAGGTATCAGAACAAATTCCAGATCATGATTCAAGATCTGATTCTAAAAAACAGAATGTTATAACTTCAGCGAAGATATACAGTTTCAGGGTAGGGAAGGATTTCCTTCTTTCTTTTCTTACTTTTATGTATTTATTTATTTTTAGGACAGGGAAGGATTTCTGAAACTAGATTCAGAAAGCACAAATGAAGAAGGAAAAGCCTATAATTTTGACTATGCAAAAATCAAAACATTTTCGGGCCCCTAAAATGTCATAAACGAAACTCAAAGACAAGCGTTAGACTAGGAACAATTGCAGCATACACGAAAGGTAAAGGGTTAACATGCTCCAGGCTCTGAGCTGGCTGTCAGTACAGAGACCGACGCGGGGCTCGAACCCATGAACCGTGAGATCATGACCTGAGACGCGGGGCTCGAACCCATGAACCGTGAGATCATGACCTGAGCCGAAGTCGAACCCTTAACCAGCTGAGCCACCCAGGGGCCCCAGTAAAGGGTTAACACGAAGACTATGTGAAGGTTGGTAGCGATCAATAAAAACAAGGCTCTAGGAGAGGACAGTGGCGGGGAGGGGAATGAAGCGAACTTGCCCGGCCAGGAAACATACAGGAAACATACAGAGATTCCCCACATTCCCTGGTAATGGGGGAAATGAAAGTCAAAATAACCATGGGAAGTGATGTACCGTTTCTCACACATCGGACAGGGAAAAAGCAAAATGCCTCACCCTCCCAAACGCTGGCGCGGAGCCGGGGACAGAGCCCCCACGCGCTGCTGGTGGCGAGTGGGCGGGGCCGCCGTGTCACTGGGGGCGGGGCCTTCGCGTGCGGCGCCCCCGCGGCTCCGACCCACGCGCCGCGTTAGCTCCCTGAGGAAACGCAGATGCCGGGGAGAGAGGGGAGGCGGCCGAGCCAGGAGGCCCGCCCCGATTCGGCCCCCCGGGCTCCTCGGCTCCGGGGGGTGGGGGTGGGGGTGGGGGGGACGGGGAGGGGCCGCCGAAGCAGCCGCACATCTAGCCTCACGTTTGTGCGCTCCTCCCGGGGGAGGGGCTGTGTCCACACGCTGAGGAGCCTGTGTCTCCACACTCCAGGCCCCTTCCTGAAAGCGCGGACCTCTGTCTCACCTCAGGCCCCGAGTGGGCAGATCCCACGCCAGCTGTAAGCGGAGGAGAAGGGGGAAGTATGCTCGGCCTGCCAGTGCTCTAACGGCTTTATTAAAAAAAAATTTTTTTTTTTTAATTTTTATCTATTTTGGAGAGAGAGACAGAGAATGAGCGGGGGAAGAACAGACAGAGAGGGAGGGAGCGACGCAGAATCCGAAGCAGGCTCCAGCCTCCCAGACATCAGCACAGAGCCCAGCGCGGGGCTTGAACCCACAAACCGCGAGATCATGCACGACCTGAGCGGAAGTCAGACGCTCAATGGAAGGAGCCGCCCCGGCGCTCCTCTAACAGCTTTGAAGAGATGCAGGCACCAAGTGGAAGGCCTCTGCCTTCTCTTACGTCTCTCGTGGGTAGAGGCTAGTTTTGGGTCAGTGATATCATAGCTCAAATTGTTACCCCTGGGAGGCCTTATTTCTCATTCAGTTGGGAATAAATAGCTTAAATCGTGGCTTAATTCTTTTGGCTTCTCAAAGCCATGGCAACTAAGTCATTTTAATAATTTTTTAAGTGTATTTATTTATTTTGAGAGAGAAGTGGGGGAGGGGCAGAGTGAGAGGGAGAAGGAGAATCCCAAGCAGGCAACGCACTGACAGTGTGCGGGGCTTGAAGCCACGGATCCGTGAGATCATGACCTGAGCAGAAACCAAGAGTCAGATGCTTAAGCTACTGAGCCACCCGGGTGCCCCTAAGTCATTTTAGCTGTGGAGGAATCAGCTGGGGTTTCTCTAGATCAGATACTACGATCGCGCCCATATAGTGGTCTTTGTCTTAGAGACATGGCCGAGTCACAGTTTTTCTGGCCTAAATAATGTCTCTGAGTCTTCAGCCACAGCATTCTGGGGCCTCTGGCAGGCATTTACCGGTCTGATAGGTGAGCACATTCAAATGTCTTTTCTGCAGAACTGCTGGGTGCCGGCCACGGTGGTCCCTCCTGTGTGCAGAGGTGCTATTCGCCGGGGGAGGGACACAGATCAGGGGTCTTAGCTTCATGGCCCAGCCCCATGTCGTGTTAAGTGCACAGCAGTGTGGCACTGGGCAATATCCTCAGAGAATTCCCTCCTTGGCTGGTTGCTACCCTTCGCCTCCGCCGGCCTCTGAGCTTCTATAGGACTTGAATTGAAGATGGTGTCTGTTGTGTTACTCAGCATAAGCATTTCAGTTTCCCCTAAAATTTAATACCGGGGAATGTTTATTTCGTTTGGAAACCCTGTGTGCTTCATTCGAGATTTGGGAACTGAGAGGCCACGTGTAGAGCGTATACTTTAGAGCTGTGGCCCTGGGTTTCGGTCCTGAGCCAACCACTTGCTGAGGGAACTCAGAGTTTAGTTACCCATGATCGTATCTCAAAAGTGAGGTTAACAATTTCAGGGCCATAGAGGCGTCGTGGGGATAGGACGTTCTGATGGAAGCCAGAGTACACTTGGAGGTGCTACACAAATCCCACTTGTTCTTAGAAAGCCCATTGTGCTGGAAAATGCTAGAATTAGTGCTTGGATGAAGTTACTATTAAAGAAAAAAAATTTTTAATGTTTATTTTTGAGAGAGAGTGACAGAGTGTAAGCGAGGGAGGGTCAGAGAGAGAGGGGGACACAGAATCCGAAGCAGGCTCCAGGCTCTGAGCTGGCAGTCAGCATTGAGCCCGAGGCGGGGCTCAAACCCACGAACCGCGAGATCATGACCTGAGCCAAAGTCAGCCACTCAACTGACTAACCCACCCAGGCGTCCCAGAAATGACTATTTTAATCTGGGTTCTAGTACCATGTGCTTTTTTTGTTGTCATTGTTCTAATCATTTCTGTCCATACTTTTATTTCAACGATCCCATTCTGTCTGCATCTTAATATTCTAGACTGCCTCCCATCTTCTGTAGGAGACAGATGGGGAAAATCAAGAAGAGCAGCAAAGAGCAGCAAAGTCCAGTTTCCTAAACTAAACCCAGTTGTACCTGCTGGCTCACTGTGTCCTTGGGCAAGTCACTTTGGTGGTTTGGTGTTCTCTCCGCCTACTCTGACCCCCGATGGGGAGGTCTGCGATGCAGGAAACAGACGACAGGGTTCGGGGTCTGCCGCCCATGTCCGCTGTCGCTGGCAGCTAGCCGGCTGCAGAATGCCATGGTCAGGTGGGCCTGGGGTCAGGCTCCACCTGCCAGAATGAGACAAGCAGCCGCCCGCCCCCTTCAGAGCTGCAGTGAGGACAGCTCAGTGTCCTGTTACTGACAGAGGCCAGTTCCTCTAGCCCGAAGGCCTCTGGGACTCATTTGGGACTCTGCGATGGAAGAGACAGGGCCTCCTCCATGCCGGGGCCCCTGCGCCCCCTTATCTAGTGGGCATTTCGATTCTTCCTCTCTCCGGACACTCCTCGCTCCTGCACACTTTCATTTTGTTTGTGAAGTTGGGAGCCCCTTGGATCAGATGCTCTTCTCAGCCGAAGGCATGAGAAGTTTGGAAGGAAGTTCCAAGGAAACTTGGAACGGAAGTTTCCTCCTCTTACTGTGACTACTTTTGTTCTCTGAGTCTCTCCTGGCTTTGCTGTGCCGCCAGCCCATGCCCCCAGAGAGTCTGTTTTGCATGTGGTTGTTAAACTTTGATTCGGTGACTCATACTGGGGCGAAGCCTTCAAGTCTGCCTCCCTCATTTGATTGCTTTCTTCCTTTCCTTTAAAAAAAAAAAAAAAACAAAAAAACAACTCAGAGCAAAACTACCTTGGCAGCTGAATGTGACCGTGGCATCCAGGAAGGGGAGCTTTGGCATGAAGGGCCTCCTCATGGCTGCGTGGCCCAGCCTGGCTGGGCTCCCCCAGGCTGGGTGACACCCGGCTGGCTGTGGCAGGAGCTGGAGGTGCCCAGGGGGAGCACTGGTGTCCACTGTGGAGGCCGGAGCGACGCGCCCTGCTGGTGAGTGCCTGGCTCTGGCCATCACTCGGTATCACAGGCGCTGGGCAGACTTGGGTCCAGGGCTGGAGGAGGGAGACAAAGACTCAAGGGTGGGGAGCAGCTTGGGGAGACGTTCTTGGATTAGCATTATTCGGGGCAATCTGATTTCCGGCACCTCACAGGATTTTAAGTGCACAGATTTTAAAAAATGGTGAAATCCTTGCTTGCTGTAGCACAATTGTATTTAATTTCAAGAGGGCTTTGGTGGGAGAAAGATTCATCAGGGGAACTCTTCAGTTTAAGGAAAAACTCCTCCTGTGGTTTTTGAAGATCTTTATTTTATGAAATGCGCTCGGGCACATTTTCAACCTGTCTCCACACTCTCGAAAGTGTACCTTTTAGACTAGATGTTGACTTGGGGGTGTCTAGTTTCCTGGCAGATCAGGAACACTCGGCAGCAGTCCTAAACCCCGTCCCTCCTAAAGGATGGCTCCGCACGCGTCAAGGAGGCCCAGGAAGACCTGGAAATAAGTCTTAATCAGAGGCAATGAGACAATTTTAGCTCATTCCCCTTGGTTGTAAGAAACCTCGGCCACGCCTCCAGGATAATGAACTTCTCTGCAAGGCCAGCTGATGCCAAGCCAGGAAAGCCGATAGCTGACGCGTGAATGGGTTGGGTGTAGAAGATAGTGGAGGATTGGTTTTTGTTTTACATTTATTTATTTTTGAGAGACAGAGAGAGACAGAGCCTAAGCAGGGGAGGGGCAGAGAGAGAAGGAGACACAGAATCAAAGCAGGCTCCAGGCTCTGAGCAAGCACTCAGCACAGAGCCCGACGTGGGGCTTGAACCCATGCACTGTGAGATCATGACCTGAGCTAAAGTCGGACACTTAACTGACTGAGCCACCCAGGCGTCCCTGATTTTGTTTTTTGTTGTTTTTTTTTTTAAACTCAGAGTTGCCTTGGGGTATGGATCGGGGCTTGTGTATATATACTTGTGTGTGTATCCAAAGTAACCTATAGCAATACAGAAGAGCAAAGGACAAGTTCAAGGAGAAAACCAAAGACCAGGCCACCATGCTCACAGCAGCACTATTTACAATAGCCTAAAGGGAGCAGCGTCCCAAGTGTCTATCAGCAGGTGGATGGGCCGACAGAGGGTGGCCCATATACAGAACTGACTATTACACAGACTTAAAAACAAAGAAAATTCTGACAAATGCTTGCAACAGGGTGAAACTTGAAAACACTATGCTACGTGAAAGAAGCCACTCAGAGAAGGACAACTGCTCTCTGATTGCCCTTCTAGAAAGTACCTAGAGTAGTCGAATTCATAGGTGTGGCCGGTAGAAGTATGGTTACCAGGGGCGGGTGAGGGGGAGAGGGTGGGGAGTTGGCGTTTAATGGGGACCGGGTTTCAGTTTTACAAGATGAAAAATTTCTGGAAATGGATGGAGGTAATGATTGCTTAACACCACTGAACTGCTCTCTTAAATAGTTAAAATGGTCCATTTTATGTTATGTATGACTTACCACAATTTTTTAAAAATTATAATTCCTTTAAAAAAAATTCCCCTGAAGCCAGGCCCCAAAACACAAATCTCGTGGGCTGAAGTCACTGCCTGTCTGTGACTTCCCCAAAATCTAACTGACAACCCCGCTGGGCTGAGCTGAGCCAGAAAACTGCGCAGACCGTGTTCGTGAGAACTTGTCTCCTCATCATGGGGGCGACGTCTGGCTGTCCTAATGTGGTGGATTGCTCTGGAACTGGCGGAGGTGACCAGGAACAGACTTGAGGGTCAGGGGCAGCGTGATGCTTGCTCTCTTCCTGGGACTGAGGCTTGGGCTCACCTGGCTCTGTGGCCCCCTCAGCAGCCCTGGGCAGCACCCTCTGGGCCAGACGGTAGGAGAAACTCCTTGGGAGTCTAGTCCTTCCCATTGATTAGCTGTGGGACCCTGGGTAAGTTGGCAAAACCTCTCTTTTCTTCAGGTTTCTTACTTGTAACATGAGTAATGAGTAATAAGCTCTTTTCCACTTCCCACAGATGTTAGTGTCTTCAAAGGCAATATGGAAGGGCTCGCCAGTGAAATACTGGGCGCGTGTGGGCTCTGGCTTCTCTGCTTATCCCTCTAAGGTCTCCTCTTTTTCTCCTTCTTCAGTTAACCTCGTATTCTTTTCCTCAGGGGATTTTCCAGTCAGAGATTACAGACCTCGGGCCCAGAGGCCCTCAACCTGGATTGGCTGATTCCAGGAGGCACCGGTCTGATCCAATTCTCATTGTTTTTTTCCTTTTTTTAAATGTTTATTTATTTTTGAGAGAGAGAGAGTTGGGGGGGTGCAGAGAGAGGAGGGCAGACAGAGGATCCAAAGCGGGCTCCATGCTGACAAGCACAGAGCCCCATGGGGGGCTCAACCTCATGAAATGTTGAGATTATGACCTGAGCCGAAGACAGATGCTTAACTGACTGAGCCACCCAGGCTCCCCTAATGCTCATTGTTAATAAAGTTCTGCCTTTCCTCTCTCCCCCGTTCTCCCTTCCTTTCCCGCTGCTTTGTTAGGCCACCTCCCACTTTGGATTCTACCTGAACACCTCTCCACGGCCCCCTTGACTATTGACCATGGGGAGTGTTGCAAGGCTGACAGTTGTAAGAGCTCCTGAGGAGACTGAAGATTTTTAAAGTGTTACTAGTCATCTGTGTTATTTGTGACTTCCAGTCAAGCTTGAGGAAGAAAACTAAAATGAAATCGTTCGTACTTTCAGGACTTAAAAATAGAAAGCAGTGAGAAACTGTTGGCAATGTTGTAGCTCAAAGACCATCGCATGTCGAGGGGAGGGTTTTGGCCTGAGGGCCGGGGGAGGCTCCTGAGGACAGGCCCCCACCTCAGGTTCCTCCCTTATTTAGAACTTTTAAAAGGAAATGAAGTTGATTTTGAAGTCTCAAGGGGGTGGGGGGCAAAAGAGAGCCTCTGAAGTGGGTGAATTCTTTCAGTAAATTTTGTGTAAAAACAGCTCTCTGGTCCCACGCATAACCTTTCAAAAGTTTCCTCAGAAAGGGAGCTCTGGGGCACCAGGGTGGCTCAGTCGGTTAAGCTTCTGGCTCTTGACTCTGGCTCAGGGCGTGATCTCACGGTTCATGAGATGCGGCCCTGCGCTGGGCTCTGCACTGACAATGTGGAGCCGGCTTGGGATTCTCTCTTTCCCTCTCTCTCTCTGCCCCTCCCTCCCTCTCTCAAAATAAATAAATAAACTTAAAAAAGAATAAAAAGAAAAGAAAGGCAGCTCTTTTGGAATTCGCGGGTGCTGTGGAGAGCTGCAGAGGACAGGCCTCACGGGGCAGCTCTCCTTGCCCTGCCCCAGGCTGAAGCCCCAAGTTTCTTCATTGTGCAAATCTCTCTGATTCTGTGTGCACATTTCAGACTGCACTGTTAGAACACAGACACAGGCTCTCCTCATAGCTGTTACTTTGGGACGAAAGAGAAGTCACCCGGCCCGGTTGTATTTTGGTTTTTCCATTTCTGCAAAAACAAGATGCTACCTCCATCTCGAGCACAACTCAAAGTAACACGTTATTTTGGGCATCTACTTTTTGCCTGCCTCTGCCACTTACTAACTCAGTAGTAACCTTTCCTCTGTGCCATTCTGAGTCTGATCTTCGTCACCTGTGAAAAGGGACTACCTTTATCCACCGTCTACCCACCGAGGGTAAAGCACGTTCAGGGAAGAGTCTCTCAGTGAATGTGATGTGGAAACAGTGAGGAGCTATGTGAGCACCAATGGGAACATTCATGCCGTCTGTTACAGTCTCTCTTCTTTTTCCTTCTCTCTCACCTTCATTCCCTCTCCCTTGTCTTTCTCACACCCCTCCCCTCTCTTCCCTTCTCCTCTTTCTTTCAAATTAAAACAAGAGCCACTTGAATGTGTTAACAAAAGAAGGGTGGAGGTGGGGGTGTAGCTAGACTTGGGGGTGACCGAGGGATCAGGCCTGGGGCAGGAGGGACAGGCCTCCAGGCAGAGGGAAGAGCCCGGATGAAGGTCTGCAGGCCTGAGAGCCAGCCCACGGGTCTTTCAGGGACAGTGAGCCGCTCCTGGTGTGAGGCGGGCCTGTCTGGCTGGGTGGGTGTCCTCTTCCTCCACGGAGACTGGCCCAAAGCTGGACCAGCCTGAGAGAATAACCATCCCATGGAGAAGGACTGGACACCAGTCAAGGAGTAGAAGGTGAAGCTGGACTAGGAGATCATGGCGGAGGGGACAGGAGAGTGGGCCAGGCCTGGTTTGCCAGGGCCTTCTCTCTTCTGCTCATGAGTTGTGACGTTTCCTCTGTACAGGGTGGAGTGACAGAAATCTTTGTCAGTGGACTAGCCAGATGGGTGCTGTGGTGGGTGGGAGTGTGGTGAGGAGGCCCTCCCAGAACCCCCCGGGAGAGAGGCCAGGGCCCTTCCCCTGCTGGGAAAAGCCAGCTCATCCTTTTTTGCCCAGTTTTGTGAGAAACTTTCTGGCCTTCCCTTTCCCCTCAAAGGAAGATAAGTCACTCCTTCCCTGAGTTTTGAAAGCACATTTTTTTCTAATTGCAAGTATTGTGCTTACTGTCATGATTTACGGCGTGCTATTTATTTGTTTGGTCTGTTTTCCTGAGTAGGTTGTAAGCAAATTGAAATTGGGCTATTAGTTTTTATGGAACCGGGTCCCAGCTCAGTGCCTGGTGCCTAGTAGGTGATCAGTGTTTATTACATGAATGAATGAATGAACAAATGAACTAGGGTGCTGGTGTGAGTGTAAAGGAGACAGGTGCTTATGGAAGATGTCCAGGGAGTACAGATTGTTGGACATAGAATGAGGGAAAGGGAAGAGTGACACATGACCTTGAGACTTCTTCCTGGGGTCTGGGGCACGTCATTCACTGAGATGGGAACCCAAGAAAGAATATTTGAGGAGGGAAGATTATTTTTAGCTTTGGGCATCTATTGAAGAAAGATCTATTAAAGTCTTTGGATATACTAGCACCCTGTCGGGTGCTGATGCTTCTGAGGCAAAGAGGTGGGAACACAGTCCACAGTGTCTTGAGATGGATAAGTGACAATCCAACGTGTCATTACAGAGGTGTGAGCACAGTGCCTGGTAGATGAGATGACCAAGCCCCTCTGTTTGTGGACTCAGGTGTGACTGATTTGAGTAGCATTTGTGCTGAATCTTGAAGTTTGCCAAACCAAAAAGTGCATTCCGGGTAGTTTGAGGAAGGCGTATGCAGAAGCACAGCGATGAGAACCTCCTGGAGTGGCTGGGGAGCCCAGAGAGCTGCATCATGGCTCAAGAGAAAGGGCCAGGTGGGCCAGGGAGGGTGGTGAGTGCACAGGGGTCAGCCCTGCATGGTGACGCTTGGCAGGCTGCTTAGGAATTCGGTGTCTTTCTTGTAGTCAACAAGGGGTCTGAGGAGCTTCCTTCCTTCCTTCCTCCCTCCCTCCCTCCCTCCTTCCTTTCTTCCTTCCTCCTTCCTCTCTCTCTCTCTCTGTCTCTCTCGAGAAGGAGAGCATAAGTAGGGGAGGGGCATAAGAAGAGGGGGAGAGAGAGAATCCCAAGCGGGTTCTGTGCGATCAGCACAGAGCCCCACGCCGGTCTCAAACCCACGAACTGTGGGCCAAAACCAAGAATCGGAGGCCCACACGACTGAACCTCCCAGACACCACATTCTGAGGATATTTCTAAGGAAGGGGGTGACATGGTCATACTTGTTCTAGAAATATCCCGTTGGCTGCAAACGGAGGCTGGGCTAATGGGGTTGCTGAGGGAGGCCTGTAAGAAGGCTGTAGCAGTGAGTTAGCTGTGGGATGAAAAAGGTGTGGGTGCAGCAGGTGGGCGGATGGTGTGAGAAAAGTCAAATTTGAAGGAGGAAAAGATCCTGGGCCTCTGTCCTGGGGCCCCGGGTGACATGTCTGTACATTGTCCTACAGAGGACCATCTTCTTGGAAATACCTACTGGAAAGCTCTGGATTTAAGAAGAAACTTTTGGGGTGGCTCAGTTGGTTGGACAGCCGACTTCAGCTTGGGTCGTGATCTCACAATCCACTTCATGGGTTTGAGCCCTGCATCAGGCTTTTTGCTGACAGCTCAGAGCCTGGAGCCTGCTTCAGATTCTGTGTCTCCCTCTCTCTCTGCCCCTCCCCTGCTCATGCTCTGTCTCTCTCTCTCTCTCTCTCTCTCTCTCTCAAAAATAAATAAACATTAAAAGAAGAAGAAGAAGAAACTTTTTGGTTTCAGAACTTCTTTTTATAACTATTAAGGATGCCGAAGAGCTTTCGTTTACGTGAGTTCTATCCATCCACTGATAAGCACCTGGTTAGAAATGAAAATTAAGAAATTAAAACTATTTATTTATTTTGAATAATAATAAACCATTACATCAATATAAATAATGTATTTTTATGCAAAATAACTATATTTTCCCCCAAACAAAAAATTTGTAGGAAAACTGGCACTGACTTAGATTTTGCAAGTGTCTAATTAATATCTGGGTTAACAGAGGTCAGCTAGGAGTTATCCCACGACACGCCATCTCTGGAATACTCTGGAATACTTCGTGACACACTCGCGAGGGTGAGAGAGGAAGAAAGCATGGTACACTTTAGTGTTATTATGAAAATAGTTCTAACTTTGAAGACCACCTGAAAGGGTCTTGGGCCACCCCCACTCCCCGAGCTTTCCTGGACCACACTTTGAGAAGTAGACTCAGTCTACTGAAGTAGATAGACTCAGCCAATGCTTGGTGAATCACAGCATTTTCTGAGTTCCCACCGAACGTATCCAAATAACATGCATGCCATTTACCTCACAGATGAATAACTGTGTGTGCCTGGTGCTTAGCAAGATGGTAGTCACAGGTATAGCTGTGGACACTCTGGGATAGCAGTAGGTGGAGGGCATGTGGGCCTGGGCAGGATCCTGTCTTTGAACCCATGAGCAGAGACTAAGGAAAGAGCTGGAAAGACTTCGAACACTTGGACCAAGTTTTACAACCTAAGGGAGAAGAGTTTCAAGAGGAGGTGGTCCCAAATGTTTTGCTTTATTATTATTTCTTTTGAGGTTTATTTATTTTTGAGAGAGAGAGAGAGAGAGAGAGAGAGAGAGAGAGAATGAGCGGGGGAGGGGCAGAGAGAGGGAGACAGAATCTAAAGCAGGCTCTAGGCTCTGAGCTGTCAGCACAGAGTCCGGTGTGGGGCTCAAACCCACCAACTGTGAGATCGTGACCTGAGCTGAAGTTGGACGTTTAACTGACAGCCACCCGGGCCCCCGTTAAATGTTTTGATTTAAAATAACAGGTCAGGGGGGTGGTCCACAGTGTTGAAAGCAGCAGAGAGGTTGTATAAGGCCAGGTGTGTGGAGCTGCTCTTGGATTTGGCCATGAGGAGGTCCCTGGTGACCAGAGGGCAGTTTCAGCAGTCAGTGGAGGGTGGAGGTGGGGAGGTGGAGGGGTGGGGGGGAGTAGAGGCGGCAGCAGGGCCTCTCTGTGGGGGATACTGGCTGCGAAACCCCTCCTCCTGCCAGAGCCAGACCTGGTCCCTTCACTGGGGTTCCTGCGCTAAGGGGAGCATCCCCACAGGGAATGGGGGGGCATGCTGAGATCCAGTAGGAAGTCGTGGGTGCCGCGGAGGATGCCAGCAGGAGACTGGGATCAGTAGACAACCTGTCATACTGAGGAGATGGGGGACAAAGATGTGCATGAGTGGCTACTGAGCCTGATTTGTAGCAGGGAGACATGGTAGGGAAGCTGAACTTCCATCAGCTGGCACGTGGTTACACGCCGACCATCCGTTCATCCAGCAAATGGGCAGGGAGCGTCAGCTGGCCAGGCGCCGGAGATGCAGTGGGCAGCACAACAGATACCCAGCATGGAAAGATTTCCCAAATGCATTTTTCTTAAACAATTTTTTTAATGTTTTATTTATTTCTTTAAAAAAATTTTTTAAAATTATTTCTAGGAGAGAGAGAGAGAGACAGCGTGAGCAGGGGAGGGTCAGAGAGAGATGGAGTTACAGACTGAAACAGGCTCCAGGCTCTGAGCTGGCAGTCAGCACAGAGCCCGACGCGGGGCCTGAACCCACAAACTGCGAGATCATGACCTAAGCGAAAGTCAGACGCTTAACCTAAGCCACCCAGACGCCCCTAATGTTTTATTTATTTCTGAGAGAGAGACGCAGCGTGAGCAGGGGAGGGTCAGAGAGAGAGGGAGACACAGAGTCCGAAACAGGCTCCAGGCTCCAGGCTCCGAGCTGTCAGCACAGAGCCTGACACGGGTCTTGAACTCATGAACCGTGAGATCGTGACCTGAGTGAAGTCAGGCGCTTAACTGACTGAGCCACCCAGGCGCTCTAATTTTTTCTTTTTTTTAAAAAAAAGTTTATTTATTTATTTTGAGAGAGAGAGAGAGAGAGAGGAAGAGAAAGCATAAGCAGGGAAGGGGCAGAGAGAAGAAGAGAGAGTACTAAGCAGGGTTATCGCAGTCAGCACAGAGCCCGAGGCAGGGCTTCAACTCATGAACCGTGAGATCATGACCTGAGCAGAAATCAAGCGCCGGACACTTAACTGACTGAGTCACCCAGGCGCCCCTCTCTTTTTATCCTTTATACTTTGACATTATTTCACTTTTTCCCACACTATGTTTTCATGCTGATGTCTGAATTTTCAAATGAGTTTTGAAAGCTCTCGGTGTCTGTGAGTAGAAAAGAGCGAGGGACCCAGTCTGTCCAGAGGGTTCGTGTTGATTCAATCTGCTTTTTGTAAACGCATGTCAGGCTGAGCCCCCACCTCCCCGCCACCCCCAAAGTACAGGCCAGGCAGTGAGGCCGGGTGGAAAAGATCAAAAGGGGGTTAGGACCTTCTAATTTACAGGTCTACTATCATCTGAATTAATTCCTAGGGAAAGTTGTGCTGTGCACAGAGCCAAATTTGGGCCAGAGCATTGCTTTTCTGAGAATGGAATGTACCAGGAAGCACTTTCTCCTCTTTAAGCTGAGAAGCTATGTTAATTTTCCAGGCCTGCTATAATAATAATACAACACCACAGGTTTGGCGTGTATTACATAACACATCACATATGTGATATTTTATTTATTCTTGGTCCTATTGCCTTATAGCTCCGGTGCCTAGAAGCCCGAGATGAAGGTGTTGGCTGAGATGATTTCTTCTGAGGCCTCTCTCTCTAGCTTGTAGATGGTTATCTTTTCCCTGGGCCTTCGCATGGTCTTCCCCTGTCCCCATCTGTGTTCAGATGTCCCCTTTTATAAGGACACTAGTCATATTGGCCAGGAATCACCCTAAGGAGCTCATTTCCACTTTATCAACTCTTTACAGATCCTTCTACAAAGAGTTCTGAGGTACCGGGAGATAGGGCCTCAGCGACTGAGTTTGGGGGCTGGGGGTGCACCCCCAGCCCAGGCTGGAGCCCCGGAAACACTTCCTTGGCCTGTGTACACATGTCCAAGCGTGGGGTGGTTTGCTCGGCTGGCCTTGGCGCCTCCGGCCCGGTGGGGGGGGGAGTCCTTGCGGGGGCACCTGTGTGGGGAGAAGGCCGCAGAAAGTGCACGAGTAGAAGCAGCGTGATTGCATCTGCGGCTCCCCAACCACACCGAGCAACTGAAAATCCCCAAGGGGACCAGGCAACATGATTTCCTGACAGATAAGGCAGGGAGGGAGCATGCAGACTGTGCCCTCAGTAACCCGACGGCCTCCAGGCCCCGGGCGCTCAGAAAACACCTGATGGATGCTTTTTCTCTTTAGCTCATGCCGGCGTGGCCCTGCCAGAAGGCAGCTGGGGGCAGGACCGTCACCAGGGCCCCGGCGGGCACAGCATGGAGCGCTCGAGCAAGATGGAGTTCTTCCAGAAGCTGGGCTACGGCCGGGAGGACGTGGTCAGGGTGCTGGGCAAGCTGGGTGAGGACGCCCTGGTCAATGACGTGCTGCGGGAGCTGATCCAGACCGGCAGCCGCCCCGGGGCCCACGAGAGCAGCGCCGGGCCCCTGCTCGTTCCCAGGGGCTCCTGCGGACCCCTGGACCCTGCCCACTGTGGGCTGCCGGCCGAGCTGGAAGACGACCGTGGAGGCCCGGCCAGTTCCTTGCGACCCATAGTGATCGACGGCAGCAACGTGGCAATGAGGTAGTTTTCTTCATCCTGGAGCCCCGGGGTGGGAGACCTGTCCCTCTTTTTCAGTGGTTTTGTCCAAAGAGCGGTCTGGGGGCTAATGGATGGGCCTTTGAATCCCCATTCCAGCCCTTTAGTAGCTGTGTGGCCTTAAGTGAGTCACTTAACCTCTCTGAGCCTCACTTTCTCCATCTGTAGAATGGGTACAAAACCTCCCTAGAAGGCAGTCATAAGAACCAGAGCTGCACAGAATGCCTAGGGCAGTGCCTGATGCGGAGTAAGGGTTCGACATGGGGTAGCTGTTATCCTATCAGCGTGGAGAGAGACTTTCTTCTGAGAAAGGCAGTCGATGCCTGGCGGAGCCTAGCGCTCTCCTCGGCAGATGTGGCTTCTTGTCTAGAGCCTGTCCCCAACCAGCCGTGTGACTCAGAAAGCCATAGTATCTCAAGCTTCCTCTTCTGTGACACAGGCTAATAGGCAGCTTTGCTACTTCTCTAAAGGCAATGAGAATCAGAGGGGAAAATGTACTTGGACTAGAAACCCTCTTTTGGCGGGGGGGAGAGGTGCTGCGGGGGTGGCTGGGGGTGCTGGGGCCCCCTAGCGAGGTCGGAGAGGGGGGCTCGTGGCCCCCGAGCCGTAGACACGATTGCCAGTGTTTGTGCATCGGCAGCTCTGTGTGGGTCAGCGATGAGAGGGGCACGCGCAGCCCCGGTGCGTTCCGTGCCGCGGCTCAGTTCGCTCAAGCCGCCCTCACCGGCTCAGCCGCGCTCCACGCCGGCCAGGAGGAGGCTCTGCGCCCAGCAGTGCGGTTTGCGACTTCTTGCCTTGGCAGATCCATAGGAAACGGGTCACTTGTGGCTGTAAATAGATGCACTTCCCCTTTCAAAAGCTGAGCTCTGGGTGGGAACTGAGAGAAGGAGCGTTCTCTGCGGTGCTAAATGTGTGCGGAGGGTGTCCGTCCTTTGGCTGACAGATCCAGCGGCTTTCCCTGGGGATCTGGCCTCACTCTGGACTTGGCACTGCAGGATGGAAGTTTGGAATCATGCTACCCAGGCTGGCCCGGCCCTGGGCGCTGTCCCTGTGTGCCCTGCGTGGCCATTGTTCAAGTTGTGGCCAGCGGGGCCGTCCTGGGCTGCTCCTCAGGTCTCTGTAACGTCCACACACAAACTCCCATGGAGGTGCCAGATGGGCCAGCCTATGAAATCCTGCTTAATTCGAGATATTGGCAGGGTGGGGAGGCGGGGGAGTTCAAAGGATGTTTAAGAATCCAGTAGGTTCTCAGGGTGTGCGAGGGTTGTGAGGGGCCTGGCCTCTGCCTGCTCAGGACCAGCCACCTCTCCTGGGCATCCAGAGAAAGGAGGCTCTAAAGGTAAGAGGGTGTTGCCTAAATTGAAGACCTTTGAGCCCTAAGACTGTAGCAGCTCTGTGATTCCAGATCAAAAGAGCAGAATGGCTGTGGGCTGGAAGGGCCGCTTCACCTGCCGCAGGGAAAGGTGGGCCTGCTCTCCTGGGGACCACACAGTTTTTAGGGATTGTTTCCATAGGGTGGCGCCGGAGGGTTTTACTTTGCTGAAAATCTCTGTTGCTGCTCGGGATTCAAACTCAAAGCACATCTTCTACTTGTGTGAGACCATGATGTGTCCCAGCTAAACCCGTTTAGTCCCCTCCCCCACAACCGTAATCCGTTTAATTCCTTCGCGTTGGATCTGTGTGGGGGACAAACGGAAGCCATCACTCAGGCTTCTTGTAAAGAACATGCCAGAAGGCCAACGCTTTTCACACACTTGCTGCCTGCACGCCATCTTGGTTAACAAGAGCACATGTGTTTGTGTGAGACCTCAGTGTGTGTACCCATATGTGCACACATGCGCGTGCGTGTGCACACTCACTCACACACACACACACACACACACATCCCCTCCCTTCCTCTGCTCCTACATGCCGAGTCGGGGACAAAAGGCACATCGCACAACCACCACCTGGTGGGCGGGGCCTGACTTGTTCAGTGGCCATTCTGGGAGACCGAAGGGGTGTCTGGCTCTCTGCCCCACTGCCTGCTCCTTCTCCTACAATAACACCGCCTGTGTCCTCCAGCCAGATTGTCAATAGGACCCATGACCCTCGGGCTCTGCCAGATCTCAGTTGTGCAGCCTAGATTTAAGCGTGGGGCTTACCCGTCAGAGGCAATGGGTGGTTGAAACCCAACGCGGTGTCTAGTTATTATCACTTGACCTCAAAACTCAGTTAACCTCAGAAACGTGATTTCTGAAAATTCTCCTTTCTGAGGTTTTGTAGTGTTGCAGACTTTGCCACGCTCTGTTTTGGAAGAGGGGGCCACTTCATATGCTGCCTGGTGCTGGAAGAAATGGGGAAGGACTTAAAAGGCAGATTGGAGCCCATGTCCTTGCCGCCCTTAGGAGCCACTGAGAGTCCAAAGATCTGAGTCCTGACCTCTAGCTGAGAGCTGCCCAGTAAAACCTCCCTTCCATGATGGAAAGTTCTATACCCACACTGTCCATTAACAGTGCTTCTTGAAATGTGGCCATCATGATGAAGGAACTGAACTTTACATTTTCTTTCTTTCTTTTTAATGTTTATTTTTGAGAGACAGAGAGACAGAGCCCGAGCAGGGGAGGGGCAGAGAGAGGGAGACACAGAATCTGAAAAAGGCTCCAGGCTCTGAGCTGTCAGCACAGAGCCCGACATGGGGTTTGAACCCACAAACCGCAAGATCATGACCTGATCTCAAGTCAGATGCTCAACCAACTGAGCCAGCCAGGCGCCCCAACATTTTCTTTCTTTTGAATTAATTTGAATTTAAATGTAAATAGCCACTTGTGATGAGCGCCTCGGTACTGGACTGTACAGATCTAGCTTTTCAGCTGTGGGGCCTCAACAGTGAGTCACATGATGGTTTTGAGCCATGTTTATACAATTAAGAGGTTGGACTAAATAATATTGATCTTAAATGGCTTTTCATTTGTAACATTCTAGGATTCAAGGTGATTATTTTATGCATGCATGCAAGAAGTAAATGCATTTTTCATAGAAAGGAATCTCTCTTCTTCTGCAGAAGTTCAGAGAGACTAAGTAATTTGCCCCAGGTCACAGAGCAATGAGTGCCAGGCTCTGCTTTCTGAGCTCTTTCCAAAGCCCTGCACTTCCTCCAGCACCATGTGCCTTTGGCTTTCCCACTGCCCAGCCTTCAAAAGTGCCTCAGGGTGGGAGACCCTGACCCCCACGGACTTTATTTGGGGGCCAGAGCCTGCCGGTGCTGACCAGAGCCCTTCCCCAGTAGGAGGAGCCCCCGCTTGCCCCCTGCAGACAGGATGTGCTGCCTCCTCCTCACCAGGTGATCTCTGGGAACCCCCCGGGGCATCACATGTGCATGGAAAGGTGGCCCTGGGGGGCTAGCCGCCCAGAGAGTGATTACCAAGCACAAGGCCTGTACCTTTAAGGGGTGTGTGTGTACTCACAGGAGAGAGGAGGATGTGAGCTCCAGAAAGAGCTAAAGAAAGCGTCCAGCGGGTTTGACAAAGAAGGTGGCTTTCACGACACGCGTGTTAAGAGCCGCATCGCGGTGTTTGCGAGGAGCGCGGACCCTCCCGTGCCAGCGGCCGGTATCTGCCTGCCTGACAAACGCGCCCCCTGCGTTGCACATTCTGTAGGCAAATTTAGGAAAAGAGTGATTTGCGAGGACTTCAGCTTGGGGGAAAACCACCTGATAATTTCACATCCTCCTGCTGCCCCAGACAAGGGTTTCGTTTAAATCAGTCCCCACGTTGGGGTGCGAGGGCCTTTTGACCTGGCCGTCATTTACATGTTTGGGCTCTCGGAAAACAACAGAAGCTGGCTCATTCTGGGGGACCGAACCTTCAGTGACAAGAGCTCAGGCCGGCAATGGGGGGTTTCATCAGCCTCCTTCAGTGGGCTGCTCGTGGAAGACGCGCTGCTGGGCTGGGGGTCAGGCCTGCTTCTGCGCCCTGGAGTTGACTCTGGCCCACGCTGGCTTGGGGCTCCTACCCGGGTCTGTACCCGTTTCTCCTTCCCTGAGATGAAAGTGCGCCCTCTCTCTCTACCTGCCTACCCCCCGAATCTGAGCTGGGGAGAGGGGAGAGATCTCTTGGTGGAAGAAAAGGCTATAAACTCCAGATTCAGAGTGTTTGCAATTTAACCCCAGATAAGAAAGAGTGTGTCTCCGAGGGGTGTGCCTGTGCATCTTCTCCCCGAAGGGAGCATCTTCTCCTTTCCTCCCTCCCCCCCCTCCCCCCCACAAGCACCACCTTGCTCTCCAGGAGACTGGTCTGCGAGTCACCTCCCAGACAGCAGTCACCGCTACAGTGATGGTCCACTTACCGCAAGTGGCCGCGCTGACTGTGGGCGCCCGGGCGTAATTGTCCTGCAGACACTTTGCCTTGGGCACCCGCCCACTTCCCCTCAGCACCCTCCCTTTATTCAAAACCTGCCTCTTCCGTCTCCTTTTCCCAGGCCCTGGCTCTCAGCTGGCGGTGATGAGCTGGTTCACAGCGACTGTTAAGAAGCCCTAAGGTCCCTCCCCCAAACTCAAGCATTTTAATAGCAGATGACTTAAGGCTCCAAAGCAGCCGCTTTCTGGATGGGGGGGGGGGGGTTCCTGGGGAGGGGCAGGAATAAATGGAATAAGAGGGGGGGAGGAGGAGTTTGCAACCCAACAGATCAGGCTCTGAGATCTGCCACTGGAGACCTTTCTTTGCTTCAGTTTCCTCAAGGGTGCGGTGAGAGGAAGGTCGCTTCCTCAGGGGCTCACTGTAATGACTGAAGGGCCAAGTGTAAAGTGGCCTGGGACACAGGACTCTACAAATATTCAAAATGAGCTCCAAGAAGCAGGAGTGAGGTCCGTCTTGTTCTCTGGTCTCTGAGGACCCAGCACAGAGCCTCACTGAGGATATTCATAAATTGATGTTGAGGAGATGGAGGGATACACAAATAAATAAGTGCTTTTGGCTTATGCATTTACCTCCGTATACCGAGGGGTGCGAACCCAGGGTGACCGTGAGTGCTTTCTTGCCTGAGAGCTCTGCGGACAACCAGGGACAGACCTGCCCCCTGTGGTGAGAAGGTGGTCCCTGCGTGTGGCTTCAATCCTGCCATAGGCCAAGGCTTTCTGTGGTCAGAAATATGGCAGCCATAAGGTTATGAGGTTTTTACCGACCTCAAAGGTTGGTTAAAAAAATGTGGCAATGATTGAACAGTAACAATCCTTACGTCTCAAAAGAGACCAGAAGGCTCAGAGGGGAGGTCGGGGTGGGGCGTGTGGGAATCCAGTCCTGCAAAACAATAGACCTGAATGAAAACCCTCCATTCAAGAGACACCAGCTTAGTGATTCCAGGGGTCAGCCCCTGACTTCCCTTGTCTGGAGTGAGAGCTGGAGAGGAGAGTACTTCTTAGGGGGGAAGAAAGGCGATGGGCAGATGATTGCTTGTTCCACTTTCTTCTGGTCTTAATGGTCTTCACTGTCCTTTTGAAACTCCTGGCTGAGGGCTGCCATCTTGGAGTCTTGGGTCAGAGAGGCCACGGGACACGGTTTTGCTGCATGAAGCTGATGGTAGCGCCGTTCCTCAGTTTTTCTCTTGCTGAACTCCTGAATGGCTGATCCCTTCCCCTCTGCATGGCCCCAGCCAGGGCCGCCTCAGCCTGCGGCCCTGACCATCGTCACCAGAACCCGTTGCCCTGCTCACCTTTGCCTCCACAGAGGAATTGGGTTCATCCTCATCACTGAACATGCTCCCTCCAACCACACACATGGCAAAGGTATGTAGTCACAGAAACAGGTGTGTGGTCACAGAAAAGAGAGACCTCAAGAAACCATTTTTTAAGTGTATTTATTTATTTAGAGAGAGAATTATTATTTAGAGAGAGAATCCTAAGCAGGCTCTGGGCTGTCAACATAGAGCTCAACACGGAGCTCAAACCTATGAACTGTGAGATCATGACATGAGCTGAAATCGAGAGTCAGAGGCCAACCAGGTGCCCCATGAAGCCAGTTTTAAAAGAATGGTGGTGGTGATATATTTACCTGAGAACTGAGGATAGGCTTGTGCCGCTGACAGAGGCATATTTGGGGGTGGGGGTGGGGTGGGGCATCCTCAGTTGTTCATATTCCTGCTTCGATGTGCACAGAAAATATTTTCTCAGATACAATCTCTTCCTTACCTGTTTAAGTGGTGGCAAGGGGCAAACCCAAACTTACCAAGTTGTGGTTTCTTGGTGTCTTCCATCTTCTGGGTGCCTTGGGGTTCATGTTTCCTCTCCCTCCCCTGCTCCACTCCCAAGTGACATCTGGGGGCTTTGACCCCTGATGTTGGCTGGGAGAAGGGGTCTGGGACCCTCACTGGACTCTGCTACGGAGTGGCTGCTCTGACCTGGCCTGGCTTCCAGAACGGTCAACATAGAAGGGTCATCGGTCCCATTTGGCCTTTCAGGATGCCATGCTGGCTTAGAGCCCTGCCCCCCTCCCAGGGGCCTCTTTGTCTGTCCCTAGGCCTCAGACAATCCACCAGTCCTGGGGGCAGGCGAGGGATGGTGTGTGGCTTCCTGGTCACCTACGCACCGCCTGGCCTGAGGCGCTGAAACCCGGATTTCTCTCAGAGCCTTGTGACCTGCCTCTGCTGTGCGGGAGACCAGCCTTGACCTCCTCTTCACACCCGTCCTGATGTTTCTACACCTTCCCCTCTCCTTCTGGCTCGGGGGTGAAGCATGGGTGTGGGGTGCACAGGCCAGGACCCTGTGAATGACCTCCTCTTTCTTCCTCCCTCTCCGTTCTTTTTTCAGCTTCCACTGGGGCAGAGGGCCTGCTTCCACTTCCTTTCTTTGTGCCACAGACATTGATATTTTCTCCTTAACTCTTTGCATAAAGCTCACAGCTTGGCCTCAAGGGCCAATGGACCATTTTCTCTAAACTGGAAGAAGACACTACAGATGCAGGGCGCAAGGCCTGCTTCCTGAGAGGCTCCTGGGGCCAGAGCAACGCAGAGCTCCCTTGTAGCTCCCCAAAGCCTGTCTTTCAATACTGTTGATGAGTGTTTGCAAAGATGCCCTTTTTCTCTTTACCAGCCTAGACCTATCCTGACCCCCTCGGAGAAAATAGCGGGAGAGGCCACGCACAGGGGAAGGCACAGCCTGCAAACGTGGAGTGTCGCCCTCATCTGGATGCGGGCAGGCTACTGCAGGCCAGCATCTCAGCAGAGGGTGTCCCGGGCTCTGAACCCACACGGCTCTCCCCTTTCCTTCCTCCCCCTGCCCCAGGCCCTCTGTTCTTTCTTGGGTCCCTACACACAGTGGGCCTTTCCTGCGTTGTCTTTCCGGCCAGTTCTTCCCCCTTGCTGGGGTCCAGCTGCTCACGGGACCTGTGTCTTCTCAGCCCTTCATGCATTCAACACATTTTTACTGTCCCACTACCAACCATCAGGCGCCATGCTGGGTGCTGGGAATTCAATGGGGAGCAAAGGGAGCTTATGAGTTAAAGAGGGGGAGACCTGTTCATCCCATGGGTGTGTGTAATCGTTCAGCCGAGACCAGTGCCGGGCAGAAGAAGCGTGTGCCGTTAGGACTCATTATAGGGGAATCGGAGGGGGGCCGGAGGGCAGGGAGGGGGGCCAGAGGGCAGGGATGCTTTCCTGAGGAAGGGGAGATGAAGCTGAGATATGTAGGAGAAGGAGGCGTGGACCGGGCAGGGAGGAGAAGAAACAGCTGGTTCAAAGGTCCTGTGGTGGGAGCAGGGCAGCTTGCTGGCCGGTACAAAGTGCTGCAGGCAGCTGCTTGGAAGCAGAGGCCAGGCTGTATCGCACCCCGGGCAAAGTCCGACTGACTCTGCGATCTCGGCATCTCGTCTATCCCCATCTCTTCTTCACCAGCCAAACACCACTGACCTGCGCAGCCTTGTTCTCAGGGATGTTTTCAGGCCTCGTGGGTCTCTCTGAGCCGCTCCTGGCTGCCTCCTTCCCACGGCTTCTACAACATGGCACCCATCTGATTTCCTCCCTATTGGCCTGAGAGCGCCTTTGTGTCTCTCCTGTGAGACTGCCCTACCCCTGCCATAAGCAGCTCTGAGTTTGAGAGCTCCCTCACACCCATCTCCCAGGCCCCTCACTCTCTCTCCAGGGAATCAGGCATTTCTCTCCCTGCGTGGCTTCAAGCACAGACGCCCTACACGTTTCATCACCCAGAACCCTCTTCTAGAACTCAGCATTACCACCTACAGAGGCTCCTCCAACTCAGTATGTGTCCATGGCAAAACTCGCGGTCTTTCCCTCTAAACCCTGTCCTCACCGCTCCCCCCCCCACCCCAGACCTCTTTGTCTCAAGGGGGCACCCACCAGCCACACAAGCCAGTGATCTGGAAGCCTCCTCAGTGCCTTCTTCTCCATCACCCAGGTTCCAATCAGTCACCACATTCTGCAGATTCTCCCTTCTAAATAGCTCTCAGGTTCACCTACCCTTCACCCTTATCCACCGCCACCCACTCGGTCCAAGTCACCATCCGGTTTTGTTTTGGTGACCGTGACAGCTTCTTAACTGGTATGTCACCCCTACCCTGCTCCCTTCTAATTTACTGTCCTCTGTGTTGCCAGAGTGAGCTTTTTGAAACACACATTGCATCGTATCACAGCACAGCACATATACCCCCACCTTCAAGTCCTCCTGTGGCTTCTCATTCCTCTTAGGAGAAGAGTTTGGGCTGCCTGGGTGGCTCGGTTGGCTAAGCCTTAGACCCTTGGTTTTGGACTCAGGTCATGATCTCACAGTTTGTGGGTTTGAGCCCCACATCGGGCTCCACACTGATAGTTCGGAGCTGGCTTGTGATTCTCTCTCCCTTTCTCTCTGCACCTCCCCTACTTGCTCTATCTCTCAAAATAAATTAAATTAAATTTTAAAAAGAAGAAGAAGAAGAGTCTTCAGTAAGGCACGCCAGGCCCTGCCTGGTCCCGGGTATTTTTTCCCACTGCTATCTACTTCCTGCCTCCACTAAAGCTTCAGGGGAATTTCGGGGGCACCTCGGCCTCCTTGCTTGGGAAGCCCCGTAGGCGCGTACGCAGCCCTCTCTCAGGGTAAGAGGACCCTGCAGACGGCTACTCTCCTCCGTCTTATGTTGGGCCTTATTAGCTTCAGCTAAAGAAGGGATCTTGTCTCTAATCCTTGGGGTGCACATCCCAGGAGTCCAAGACCCTTTCCACACACACTATCACAAGCTGCCCGGTGCCAGTTAAGGGGTGTGGTGGTTTTTTGTTTTTTTTTTTTTGGCAAAGAATGAGCTATTTTTAAAATGCAGACTTTTCCTGATTCCCTTTGATTCTGGGGCTGTGATTCAGGCTCTTCCCAGGAGAAATCACTCTTCAGAAACCCTTTCTGTGACTCTACAGATTTCTTTGTTTTCCCATTGTAGCCATGGAAATAAAGAAGCCTTCTCTTGTCGGGGAATCCAGCTGGCCGTGGATTGGTTCCGAGACAGAGGACACACCTACATCAAAGTTTTTGTCCCATCCTGGAGGAAAGACCCACCAAGATCTGATACCCCTATCAGAGGTATGCTGGAGCAGATAGTGGCTCACGAGAACCTCTCCTCGGTAGTTCTCGTAACCATTACCCTCAATTGTCTACTTAGCTACGTGCTAACGCCTGTGTTTCTCACTGACTATAAGCTCCATGGAAGCACTAACTATGAAATGTTCATGGTCATAGCCCTAGCACCTAGCACAATATCTGGCATATAGTAGGTGCTCAGCAAATAGTCATTGAATAGATGAATAAACAACTTATTTTGTCTTTTAGTGTGAATGATTAAGTCCCCCAAACGATTGTGTCTTCCAGCTTTTAACACTGGATCTGCATCTCACCCCTAACAGAATATTGGATCTGAAAGAGACATTCATTTGGTTCAATGATCTTTGTTTACTGTGTACCAACTCCAATCTCTTCATTAAAAAAAAAAAAAAGAAGAAAAAAGAAAATGGAGGGATGCTTGGGTGGCTCAGTCGGTTCAGCGTCCAACTTTGGCTCAGGTCATGAGCTCGCGGTTCATATGTTTGAGCCCCACGTCAGGCTCTTTGCTGACAGCTCTGAGCCCGGAGCCTGCTTTGGATTCTGTCTCTCCATCTCTCTGCCCCTCCCTGTGCTTGGTCTCCCTCTGTCACCCCAAAATAAATCAATGTTAAATTCATTGGCCATAAAACAAACGGATTTAAAAATAATTATAATAATTAAAAAAACAAACTAAATCCCAGGGAATTCTTTATTTTTAATTCTTTTATCAGCTAGGACTATTTTAAGCTACAAATAATAGAGCAGGTGGTTTAAATAAACAGGATTTTGTTTATTTGTTTGTTTTTGTTTGGCTTTCTTATTACTAGAAGTCAGATGCTAAGCCGCTGTTGGCATCGTTTCTTCAGTGATGGTAGGGCTGACCTCTTGGCGATTCGGGGAGATTTCTTTGATTTTTTTTTTTTTCTTTCAGCCTTTTAACCAAAAGTTTTTTATGTTGTTCTTAATTCTGTCAATGATTACCAATTGCTGCTTCTTCTCTTTCAGATTCTCTGTCTTTATCCTAAAAATAAAATGATATTCTTATTGGGGCACTGGAGTGGCTCAGTCAATTGAGCCTCTGACTCTTGATTTCGGCTCAGGTGATGATCCCAGGGTTGTGGGATTGAGTCCCACATCGGGCTACGTGCTGAGCATGGAGCCTGCTTAAGATTCTTTCTCTCTGTTCCTCTGCCACTTCCATCACTCACATGAGCGCTCTCTCTCTCTCTCTCTCTCTTTCAAATTAAAAACAAAGATATTCTTGGGGCACCTGGGTGGCTCAGTCAGTTAAGCATCTGACTTTGGCTCAGGTCATGATCTTGCAGTCTGTAAGTTCGAGCCTGGTGTCAGGGTCTGTGCTGACAGCTTGGAGCCTGGAGCCTGCTTGGGATTCTGTGTCTCCCTCTCTCTCTGCCCCTCCCTGGCTTACACTCTGTTTCTCTCTCTCTCTTTCTCTCTCAAAAATAAATAAACATTAAAAATATATTCTTGTCTTAGGGATGAAGTATCCTTTGATTATTTCTATAGTAATATAGACTTTAATAAGTTCTCTTTAAGTTCTGAGAATCCTATTTATTTTTTCTTGGGTCAGTCCTCTTCATTTCTCTCTGTGTGTATGTGGGGTGTGTATGTGTGCATGCGTGCGTGTGTGTAGGTGTGTGTGGGGTGTGTTTGTGGTTGTGTGCGTGTGTATGAGTGTGTGAGTGCGTGTGGGGTGTGTATGTATGTATGGGTATGTAGGGGATGGGAGTGTGTTTGTGTGTGTGTGTGTGTGTGTGTGAGTGTGTGTAGGTCGGTGGGGGTGGTGTGTGTAGGTGGGTGTGTATGTGGGGGTGTGGGGGGTGTTTGTGGGTGTGTGTGCATGTGTGTGAGTGCATGTATAGGTGTGTGTGGGGTGTGTGTAGGTGGGTGTATATGTGGGGGGGTGGGGGTGTGCTTGTGGATGTAAGTGTGCCTGTGTGAATGTGGGTGTGAATGAGTGTGTGTGAGTGTGTGTGTGTGTGCGCGCGTGCATGCGTGCTTCTCAAAGTTCTAGTACTTGTTTGGTTGTCAGTTTTTATTTGTGAATAAAGAGCCAGGTTGGTTAGTTACACCTCTCTGTGATTTCCTCACGTCTTCTCTCCGGGTATGTGGGTCTTCCCAGGAGTGGCAGGGCTGACGGCCAGTGTAGACCAGCAGATTTCACTTGGGCAGACGCTGCGTGGAGCAGGCGGGCGGCTGGGCAGCTCTGCCCACGGCACAGCACAGAGTGCCCCAGGATGGCTTTGCTCTAGGAGTTCAAAGGCCACCTGGGAACCTCCTCCCTTCTAGAGATATCGCACTTTCCTTATAGAGGTGAGGGTAGGGGAAGGGTGCGTGCACCTGCCCCAGGAGTAGCCCTTCGGGTGTTACCCTGACTTCTGCAGACTTGTGACTCCCTCTCCACTTCCGACTCCCTCTCCACTTCCGACTCCCTCTCCACTTCCGACTTCCTCCCCACAGGCTTGCTGAACACTCGGGGCCTTTGCAGGGAGAACGGCCCCACATCTGCTTCCGCCTTCTATCCATGTTCTAGGCTATGGCTTCCTATGTGCTGGGCATTCGATACGGTTTCCTGGGTTCGCTGCTGTTCCCTGGCAAATTCTAATGTGATTATGGGTCCCCTCCCCGTTCTATACTTCTTTACTACCATTTCGATAGGATTATGAGAAAGAGGCAGCGATAAATACTTGTGTTCAGTTCTCCACCATGCAATGCTTACCCTAAATTACACATTATAGTCTGAACATGGAGAAGGGTGGCTCTCAACAGTTGTGTAATATTTAAATCTAGTATGGGTAAAGGGTAGGGAAACCGCTTTGGGGTAGGGAAGGAATTTTAGACAAGTCACAACAAGTACAAAGCTTCAGGGAAAAGATTCGTAAATTTGACTGCATTAAAATTCTGTTCATTAGTGGATACCACAAAAACAACAACAAAAAAGAAAAGACAAGCCTTAAGCTGGGAGAGGCGATCCATCACACATTCCTGACGAAGGGTTACTGTCCAGAATCTCCTAATGAATAAGACAAAGACAAAGGACCAACAGAAAGATGAACCAAAGCATGAATGGGCCTTTCACAGAAGAGAAGACATAAATGGCCAATAAACGCGTGAAAAGACACGCAACCTCATTAGTACCCAAAGAAATGCAAAACAAAACCACAATGAAAGGCCACTGTATGCCCAGGAGACTGGCAAAAATTCAGAAACCTGGAAAGCCAGGCCGTGACTAGGTCTTGAACGCTGTGTTGGGTGGTCACCTGATACAACTGCTTGGAGAAGATTCCAGTGCTGTCTTGGCGAGTGCCTGTCCCTACCACCCGGCGCTATTGCTCGTAGAGCCACTCCCTAGAGAAATCCTTGTCCTCCCGTCCCCAGATACTGATGTGCAGACTTGACAGTGTGGACCCTGGGACCTGGCCAAACCGCCCCAACACGCTGTTACAGGAAGAAAGCAAGCGCACAAGAATGTGTACAGTCTAGAAGTTCCTGGTTGTGTAAAGTCCAGACGTCCCAATCACATTAAAAATAGTCCTTTTGGGGAGATGCATACATACACATTTTTCAAAATGGAAGGAAGGGAACTATGAGCACAAAGTCTAAAAATTGGGCTACGTCAAAGGGGCGTCAGGACATGCCACGTGGGAGGGGCGATGGGGACTTCAAAAACACGGCCGCGTTTTATATCTCTATGGGAGTATTGTGTAGGTGGCTTTAAAAATTATCCTTTGTAGGGGTGCCTGGGTGGCTTAGTCTGTCAAGCGTCCGACTTTCGCTTAGGTCTTGATCTCGCGGTTCGTGGGTTCGAGCCCCGCGTCGGGCTCTGTGCTGACTGCCAGCTCAGAGCCTGGAGCCTATTTCAGAGTCTGTGTCTCCCTCTCTCTCTGACCCTCCCCTGCTCACGCTGTCTCTCTTTCTCTCTCTCCTAGAAATAAATAAAAATATTAAAAAAAATTATCCTTTGTGCCCTGTGCATTATGGACTTTTAAAAAGTCTGGAAACCGTGTCATACAGGAAAGGACGTAGATTTGAGGGAAGAAACAATTTGTGAAGAACATGCTAAAGTTCTTCCAAGTTCTGTAGCTGTTACAGGTAGAAGGGATTTTCTTTTGCGGGCCTCCAAGGGCAAAACTAAGGTCAAAGAGTAGACTTCCCAGGAATGTGGGTGTTAGCTCTGCTGAGAGAGCTTATGGCATTTGTGCCATCTGATACACGCTCACCTCCTCGCCGGTATGCATATGAGCTGTCACCCACACAAGCTTATCCAGTCCACACCTAGACGCTGAGGACGTGAAGGAGGATTTACTAACTTCCTTTTCTACAAAGTGCAAAATGTGGTGTTCAGAGAGGGATGAGGTACCTATGAGCTACAGCTAAGACTGGAATCCAGGAATAGATCCTTAATTCCAGACTCTTTCTATTACATCCTGGTGTCCCTTAGAGCTGCTCTGTGGTCTGCTCTATCCCGAAGGCGTCCCAAGCCGATTCCTATACCATGGGGAAGATGGGCAGTGGGTCTGAGCTATGGGCTCAGGCAGGAGCCTTCCGGGTAGATGCAAGTCTCCTAGTAATTTCTAAGGCATTGCCAGCATTCCACTTAAACTATGAATGTCTTTCTCCAGAAGGCCTCTCGTGTCTACTGTGGTAGGGGTGTTAGGGCATCAAAAGGACAATAGGTATGGCTTCATTCTGCCTTCTAAAGTGACTCTCCCTTGTAGGGTATCCTTCTCTGGATGTCCGTCATGACTTATGCAGGACAGAAGCCAAGAGCCCTCTTGACCTCAGGGTGCTGGCAAATTTCTCTTGACCCCCTTGCTCATATGCCAGGCTGGGCCATGGGGTGGGGGAGGAGGAGTCAGCTCGGAGGGGCTCCCTGAGCTGCCGCACATGCTGGGTGATCAGAAGATGGTTTCAGGGGTGGGAGTCCCACCCGGAAAGCCGCCATATCCTGTCTCCCACCTGCCCTGTCGCCCCCAGAGCAGCACGTGCTGGAGGAGCTGGAGAGGCAGGCGGTGCTCGTGTACACCCCGTCCCGCAAGGTCAACGGCAAGCGGGTGGTCTGCTACGATGACCGCTACATTGTGAAGGTGGCCTATGAGCAGGATGGCGTCATCGTCTCCAACGACAACTACCGTGACCTCCAGAGCGAGAACCCCGAGTGGAAGTGGTTCATCGAGCAGAGGCTGCTCATGTTCTCCTTTGTCAATGATCGGTACGTGGTGGCATGGGGTGGGGGTGGGGGGGCTGGCGCGGGGGGCTGGGGTGACTTGCAGAAAGCCAGTGCAAATAGCCGAAGCCTGGCGGGGCCTCCAGCCATGGGCACACCGCACGAAAGCAAAGGGCACCCAGTCCTGGAGACGGAGCCCACCCGGAGTCACCCGCTCCCTCCCCCAGGGCCGTGTAGTCTCTCTCAGTCCCTCTGGGTCTCTTCTCTTTTGTGATCTTCCCCAACGGGGCTGTTTTGTGTCTGTCCTTTCTGTTCCCATGCCCACATGTAGTTGACCTGGCAAAGAACTGCCCCACAGGTGGGCCACAATCAATGTGTTCCTTTTATTTATTTGTTTGTTTGTTTGTTTGTTTATTTTAACACTTATTTATTTTTGAGAGAGTGCAAATGGGGGAGGGGCAAAAAGAGAAAGGGAGACGGAGAATGCACTGTCAGCAGAGTCTGATGAACGGCTCGAACTCACAAACCGTGTGATCGAGACCTGAGCTGAAATCAAGAGCCACCCGGGTGCCCCTTATTGCTTTTATTTTTAGAGCGTTTACTACAAGTAAGGGCCCTGAACCAGTCATCCTGTGGAAATCGGAACTGTGCTGCACTTCCATTCACTTATTTTATGTTCGTGTCTTTGTTCTTAAGTTTTGAATTACGTACGGCAGGCATCTTTTTTAGGGGGTCGCGGAGAACTTGGAACTGAGTCCATCTCAATCCCTGTTGGTTGCAATTTTCAAGAGTGTCTAGTTGGTTCTTCTGTCCCCTAGGTGGGTTCCCTTGGGTCAGGGCCACCCAGAACCAACCAGCTATAGCTGGGGGAGGGCGGCGTCAGGGACACAAGGCACAGACCCGTCAGCAGGTGCTGGGCAAGGGCCCCTGGGCAGGGGTGAGGTGGGGAGGAAGCGGCGCGGGTGTCTTCAGGCATGGCGAGGGCAAAGGCTGGGAGCCTGGCACGGGGTGGGGCGGGGAGGGTACAGCAACCTGGGATATCACTTTCTTGTCACTTTCTGTTCCAGGCAGTGCTAGCTTGATCCTCATTCTGGGCTCTGGGACCGGCCTTTAGACATATGGTTTCAGAGGGCGCCTGGGTGGCTCAGTCGGTTAAGCATCTGACTTGCGCTCAGGTCATGATCTCATGGTTCATGGGTTCAAGTCCCGCGTCAGGCTTTGTGCTGACAGCTCAGAGCCTGGAGCCTGTTTCAGATTCTGCGTCTCCATCTCTCTCTGCCCTTTCCCTGCTCACGCGCTGTCTCTCTCTGTCTCAAAAGTAAATAAAAACTATAAAAAATTAAAAAAAAAAAGAAATATGGTTTCAGAGAAACTCCCAACTCTGTGAGGACAGGGGCTGTGTGTACCTGCTCTGCCACGGCCCATCACAGGTGTGCAAGTTGTAGTTGTAGATGAGCACGTGAGCGAGCGAGTGAGTCAGCAAATGAACGGCTGTGGTCCTGGGGAAGGGAGAAAGGGGAGAGACGTGACGGTCCACCGGGTCAGGCCACTTGCATGCGGCAGACCAGTGCCTGACCGTGACGCCCAGGGGGCAGTGTGGTGTGCTGGAAAGAGCTAGAACTTTGGAGGCAGCAGATGAGGTTTCCAGTGTAGGCTCTGCCGTTTATGGGCTGTGTGTCATGGGGAAACCCCTCATTGTCACCGACCTAATGTTCTTCACCTTGAATTAATCACACCTGGATTAATCATATTTATGTTTGAGATGGCTGTGAGGACTAAGGAGAAAGGTACCCCTCGGAGTATCTAAGAGGACCTAACTGTACCTAAGAGGTAGCCGTTATTCTCAGGCCAGGTCAGGACATGGTGCCCTAGAGGGCACTGTTGCCCCAACCACTACCTCCTCAGCCCCAGAGCAGAGGTGTGCAAGCAGCTACCACGCCCCCGCCCCAGGAGCCCCCATGGCCTCTTCCCTATACTCAAGGCCAGCAGCTCCCTATCCAGCTCAGGCCTGGAGGAATCTGGAAAGTCTGGTGACGGTCGGTTCCAGAAAATCCTCACTGAAGTCTGATGGATCATGGCTGCCTTTGGCCTGGCGACAGCCTGGGGCCAAGGCCAAGTCCTTTTGACGCACTGGCCTCTGCTAAGGGCCTGCCAGAAGGTCCCCCAGCTGCCAGAAGGCAGAGCCTGCCTGTGGGTGAGGACGCCTGTCCCAGCGCCCTGGGCACGTCCATGGGGCCCTCTCTTGGCCCAGCTCACCGCGGCCAAGGCCCAGCAGAGAGCAGGAGGCAAAGCCTTTGGGAACCTCTAATAACCGCAGTGGGCGGCTCCCCAGATTCTTGGTCAGGGCCCAGCTCGGAGAAGCCGGCTGTGTAGCTGGGATCCGAGCCAACGGAGGCTGCCCGGGACCAGGGACGGCCCGGTCCTGGGCTGGCCTCGCCTATGTGGTCTGCATGGTAGGACTCAGTGTGACCCTTGACTCTCAGAGGGACACCAAGCCCGGAAAACAGGCCCCCATTTAGGAACCACAACTCCCCTATAGTGGAACCTTTGGATGACCTGGAAGTGTCTCCTGGGGACGAAAGTATTCATAAAAAAACATGGATGGCCCTAAACGAAGGGCGTTTTCCTCCTAAGGAATGTGTCCCCTCTGAGCTGTGAGCACGCGGAGGATGCATTCCCTTCCTTGCGAGACTTAATTCTAGGGAGATGGGAAGGGGCAGACAGGGGCCAGGGTGGTATCAGAGAGCGGGGCCGGGGGCCGGCAGCCCCGGAAGCTGAGACCAAACCCAGGGCCCCCGGGTTCACAGAGGAGGGATGGGACCTGCGCTGAGGCTCTCTGCGCGCTACGCCTGGGACCTGCTTTTTCACCGCCTCACCAGCTGGCATTTCAAACCCTTATTAATACCTACCCCCGACCTGGATATGTCCGGAGCTGTGGGGCAGCACAGGTGAAGTGGGACCCGAGTAAGGGAGCCCACAGGACTCGGGCTGTTTGCAGCCCCGGGGAGGTCTGGACCCTCTGCTGAGGGCAGTGGGAGAGTGGCATAGAGTCACTTTCGGACCAGCGCCCAGGAGAACCTGAGAGCAATGACACTAAAAGTCACCTGGGAAGTGGTTAAAGGGCAGATTCCTGAGCCACCTGAGAGTCTGATAAAGCAGGTATGCTGTGAAGCCAGGAGCCTGCAGTATTTTTTTTCTAATGTTTATTTATTTTTGAGAGAGAGAGAGAGAGAGAGAGAGAGGCAGAGAGAGATGGGGACACAGAATCCAAAGCAGCCTCCAGGCTCTGAGCTGTCAGTACAGAGCCCGACGCAGGGCTCGGACCCAGGAACCGTGTGATCATGACCTGAGCCGAAGTCGGACACTTAACCGACTGAGCCCCCCAGGCGCCCCGAGCCTGAAGTGCTAAAGGTGTCGCTGGGTGATTGCGGCACTGCCTGGCAAACTTGGAAGCGGCCCGTGCCTGCTCTCCTGAGATCCATGCTCTGCTGCTCATGGGTTCAGTGAGAAGGGAGGGCTGTGCTGCTTTCAAATGCTACACAACCCCTGGGTGCAGCGGGGAGAGAGAGAGAGAGAGAGAGAGAGAGAGAGAGCCCCGGACAGTGAGCCCCGCCCAGGCCGGGCCTCCTGCAGCTGGCGTGGGGCTGCTCCCCATGCAGGCGCCGGTGGGGGGTTTCTGAGTCTCCCGGTTGCCCCCCCTTGTGCTTGTTTTATAGGTTCATGCCTCCGGATGACCCCTTGGGCCGCCGGGGACCCACCCTGAGCAACTTCCTGAGCAGGAAGCCCAGGCCTCCGGAGCCATCATGGCAGCACTGCCCCTACGGTGGGTGACACCCCGAGCCTCACTGTCCTGCTCAGGTCGAGTGTCAGGGCAGCGCAGTCCGAAGTGCTGGCCTGGGTTCTGCTCCTAACTGGCTGTGTGACATCGGAGGGATCATTTAACCTCCCTGGACGGCGCTTGCTGACCGGGTTGTTATAAGGATGAACTGACACCCTGGGTGACTTGCGTGGGAGCCTTTGTGTGACGGCCGGATGCGAGGGTGCCACATAGGGCAAAGCTGTGTCTGCGTGAACCCGCAAGCTCCCCCTCCTCAGTCCTCCCACCTGGCACTCTGGCATGTCTGTCTGCATCTTACCCACCCCTACCCACGGACCCTCCACCCCCCGCACCTTCATGGCCTTCGCTCAGTGCTATCCCTTAAGAACGAAGGGTTTTATCGCAGAGCACTTCCAGCCAGCTCTTTCGCTAACTTGCTTTGGCAGGTTTATTTGTTTGTTTAATGCCCCCGGGTCTTGTTTTTCGTGTCCACAGAAGTTCAAGGTGATATTCGGAGTCATTTCTTTCTTTTTTTTTTTTTTAATGTTTTATTTATTTTTAGGAGAGAGAGAGAGACAGCGTGAGCAGGGGAGGGTCAGAGAGAGAGGGAGTCACAGACTGAAACAGGCTCCAGGCTCTGAGCTGGCAGTCAGCACAGAGCCCGACGCGGGGCTCGAACCCACGAACCGCGAGATCATGACCTAAGCGAAAGTCGGACGCTTAACCAACTAAGCCACCCAGGTGCCCCAGATATTCGGAGTCATTTCTTGTCAGAGTTAAGGCGACCACACACACATTCAGGCTGGCTGCTCTGGCGCCCATGCGCTCTCAGAAGCGTCCGGGTTTGGGCACACGACTCCTTGATGACCTCTGTTAGAACAGCCTGTCGGGAGAGGGCAAGGGTTAGCACAAGCCATGAAGCCGATGGTGGAAACTGAGGCAGAACTGGACGTGGGATCCTGTGCGGTGCGCACCCGCTCCCCACCCTCTTCGCAAGGGTGGCTCTATCCACAGGGTCCCCGGGGAAGTGGAGGCTGAAGGTCATTGGCTTTAGAGGTTTCCTTTCAGTCCTGGTCAAAAGGAGTTCCCCACGGACAATCTCCGGGCCCGACACTGAGATTACTGGGTCCAGCACCCTACACCAAGGCGGAGGGGGGTGGGGTGGAGGGGGGTGGGTACTGCACCTTCGCCCATCTAATCCGGCCCCAGGACACTTCTCCCCTCCTCGTCCGGCCCCAAGCGTGATACGCCTGGAGTGGGCCGGAGAAATCCCCAAGGAGCCTCTCCCGCCCGAGGTCTCACCCGCCCTCTGCTCTCCCTTCCCTCTTCCCTTCTAGGCAAGAAGTGCACCTACGGCGTCAAGTGCAAGTTCTACCACCCCGAGAGGCCGCACTTGGCGCAGCTGGCGGTGGCCGACGAGCTTCGCGCGCAAACGCGGGCCTGGCGGGACGCGGGCGCCGAGGCGGAGCGGCGGCGGGGCGCGCGGGGGGCGCGGGCGGAGCAGGGCGGCCCGGGGGGCGCTCCCGCCGCGGCCTGGCCGGCGCCCCCGGAGCCCGGCGTGCGCAGCTTGCCCCCGGCGCGGCGGGCGGCCGACGTGGCCGCGCTCGAGGGCAGCTTCTCGCGCCTCGCCTTCAGCGACGACCCTGGGCTCGTCGCGGCGCCCCCTCGGGACGGCGGCCTCGCGCCCCGGCCGCGCCGTCCGGACTGGGGGGCGCCGGGGGCCTCGGCGTCCCCGGGAGCCCTGCCCGCCCTGCCGAGCCCCCGGGGCCCGTCCTGCCCGCAGGCCCCGCCGAGGGGAGGCCCCGGCCCCGGGGCCCCGCACAGTGACCTGCTCCCGCAGCGCAGGAGGCCCGCCGAGGCGCGGGCCCTCCCGCAAGGGGCCGGCCGGTTCCCGGGCCGCTCGGCCTGGGCGGAACGCGGCTGGGACGACGGCGCCTTCGGGGGACCTTCGGGGTGCCCGCCTCCCTCCGCTCCCGGCGAGGGGGACGTGGGCGCGCGCGCCCGGGCGCGCGCTGCGCTCTGCAGCATCTTCCCGCCGCACCAGGTGGACAGCGTCATGGCCCTGTTCCCGGCGCTCTCCGACGTCACCCGGCTCATCCTTCTCATCCAGAGGTTCCAGGCGTCCGGTGCTCCTGTGGGAAAGTCCTAAGGAACTCGTCCAAGCCACCGCCAAGTCCCAGCCTTGCCTTGCCACGTGGGTCAGGGCGTGAGGTCAGCCTGCCCCGGAGGCGAGCCACTTTGCAGCCCCCTTTTCTTTCAAGATGTCAGGGAAGCCAGCTTCCTTGCCCTCAGCCGTGCCCATGGTGGCAGTCGACGACCCTCACTGACACTGCAAGGCTTGCTCCTGGAAGTCCGTGTCCTGCGGAATAAGGCTGGCCCCATCCACGGAGGGAGTGACCTCCTATGTCTGGAAGACTAGAAGGTGCCTGACGGTTCCAAGGGTTCCCCCAGAACACCGCAGGGCTGTTTTGTCAAGCTGCAATGGGGACCCACAAGTGGTCACAACATCAGTTTAGTGGGTGGCACCAGAAGGAGCGTGTGTGTGCACACGTGTACCCTTGGTAGCTGTGCAAACTTAATGTGGGTCATGGGCAAAAGGTTGAAAAAGTCTAGTAAATGGGCTTGACTTTTATTGCATCAAATGACATTTGAAATATGCAGTCAGTTGGCTGGGGGAGGCCTTGGTATCTAATGGGTTTCATATAGGCTGTGTCTTACCTCATGAGAAGAACCTAGAATTCTAGCCTTGATGGGTGGGTCCACTTGTCACTCTGAAATTCTATGGCTCCGCTGGTCTTCAGAGGTGGGGCAGGACCACGTGTTTTGAGGGCAGAGCACAGATCCTCAATTGGCTGAGCCTTCTAAGCCACACCTCACACCTGAGTCAAGGCCCAGTGAGTCAGGATTTGTGCTCAGAAGTCTCCAGGTGGGTCAGCAAAGAGCTAGGAGGAGCCTCAGTCATGGAGGTTTATAACTGCCTTCTGCCAACCAGCTACGGCTTTGAGTTTTGGGGAGAAGGGACCCCCCTGCTTGCAGTGGACAGGAAATGACACAGTGCTTCCAGAGTGTGAACCCTGTGTCCTCAGGGGCTCTGGCATCTCTAGCGGGCATTCACCCTTGGTGACAAATCCAGATGTGCAGATCTTTGCTCATTTGTTCATGAGGGCCCTTGGTGTCTTGGACATCCGGGAGAGTGTGAGGCACCTCCCAGTGGAAAATCAGCTCCCAACCCCCAAAAGCTTCCTGCCGACTGGCGAATGCAAAGAGAAAGTCTTCTCAGTGCATCATTCAGCTGCGTGCATTGTGGGCACAGACCAGGGTGCACCCCTGGGAGAGTTTTTCTAGCCCTCTAATTCACAGTAAATGCCGCCAGTGGGGATACAGTGATGCTGTGTCTCCCTGTGACCGCTTTGACTGCCCCCCCCCTTTTTTTTTTAAAGTAGGCTTCATGCTCCATGCAAAGCTCAGCTTGAGGCTTGAACTCACAACCCTGAGATCAAGACCTGAGTTGAGATCAAGAGTTAGATGCTTAGCCAGCTGAGCCACCCAGGCGCCCCCATTTCATCTTTTTAAACCAGATTCTTAGCGTGGCTCCAGCCCGATCTGTTCTTTACCTCTTTTTTCCCAAAGAGGGCAACTGCCACAGTTATATCTTAGTATTTTGGGACTCAAAATACTCTTGAAGTGACCCCCCCCCCCCCCCGGATAAAGTAGATTCCCCTCATGGTGTCTTGTTTTACTTTTTCTTTTCTTTTGACAAGACAGCTTTATGTTAGAGCCGCTTTTGTCTCTCGGGTCTGTCTCCTGATGTAGTATCGTCGCCTTGCTGATTTACAGTTGGAAATGTTTAAACTGCTTCCTTTGAGGACAAGTTTGAGTTTTAGTAAGCTGTAAAGCTATTTTATTTGGTTCACTATGATTAAGACAAGCACAAAAACAAGTGAAGAGACAGCACATTTCAATGTAATCCCCTTTGGAATTCTTTCCGAAGTCTTGGTATGTCTTTATGACACAAAACGCGAATGGACGGGTGAGTGAAATGTTCCTAGTTGCATAACTGTTACCGTGATCCCCAAATAAATCACTTTTATCCACACCTGGGCTCTCCGTTACCAAATTGCATATCATTTTCTCCCATGTCAGTTTCTTCCCTTAGGCCAAGTTTTCGCGTCAAATATTGTGGGTGTGAAAACTGATGTTATGGCTGCTTTACTTAGTGTTATTCGTCTCCTGGGGGTGAGGAGGCTGAAATCTGCCTTCCCAGGGGAGGCAGCGAGGCCCAAGGTGAGGACATGCCTTTGCTGGATGTTCAGCAGGCGGTTACCCAGGACACAGGCTGCTTGTCTGTTCGCTAGACTTTTAAAATCCTCATTACAGAACCACAGGGCAGCCTCGTAATAGCCGCTCTTCCTGTGTAAACCTGCAGCAGAATCCTTGATGGCTCACATCTGAGGAGCCTGGTGCTACCCCATGTGTCTGCCGGGGCCACCGTCCCAGAGGCCTCTGGGAGGCGGTTTTCAGCAGGGCTGCAGAATATCAGGGGTTAAGGGGGTAGAAGCAAGAGAAGCCACTCATGTCAGCATTGTTCCAGATAAAATGAATCCCAGCCCTCCAGATTTTACACAGAATTCACATGGGGAACAACGAGCCAACTTTCAGCTGGCATGGGTACAGCCTCGGGTCTCTAGAACAGTCCCTGTGGGGAGAAGAGCATGGTGGAGGGGGAGGGGAAGAGGGGTGAAGGAATGGGTGATGGGGTAGGGGGCTCTGGGAGATGGAACGGCTACTTGGAATCACAAATCCCACCACGAGGGGATACACAAAGCCAGGGCGGGCTACTTCACTCGGGGGCCCTGTACAAAATTTCAGTGCAGGGCCCCCCTGGGGAGCCTGGGTGGTTCAGTCTGCTTAAGTGTCCGGCTTTGGCTCAGGTCATGATCTCACGGTTCATGAGTTTGAGCCCCGCGTCGGGCTCTGTGCTGATAGCCTGGAGCCTGCTTCGGATTCTGTCTCTCTCTCTCTCTCTCTCTCTCTCTGCCCCTCCCTGCTCACACTCTGTATGTTTCTCTCTCAAAAATAAATAAACATTTAAACACTTTTTAAAAACATCCAGGGCCCCTGTTCAAACGTGATCAAGAATTTCAAGACAGCATAGCATTCAACCAAGCATGGGGGCCTTCTAAGAGGGGGTGCCCTGTGTGACTACCTACTGCCCATGAAGCTGCCCAGTGTGGAGTTACCAAGAAGACAAGCAAGAGAACATCTCCACACCCAGAGTGTCAAAGCCCAAGATAAGATGTGCCCACTTCTTAGTTGGGAAAGGCCACAGGTGTCCAGGGTCGGTCCTGGACTCCCCGGGCTCCCCCTCAGGGACTGTCCATTGCATCCCCCCAAGGACTGACTGAGTGGGCCTTCCTTGGCTTTCTCTGCCCACCTCTGATAACAAGGGGCAAAAGAGGAGAAGTTAAGGGTCCTGGGCAAGCCAGGTGCTGGAACAGCCACATCCACGTGAGTACAAGAAGTCGGCAGGGGGAGGCGTGGCTGGGCAGCGAGCAAACTGGTTTGTATTAGGCAAGGCTCTTTGGTTACGAGCGTGGCTCACAAACCAAATGTCAGGGGGCCAGGGGCCGAGGCAGCCTCGGGTCGGCTGGCATGAGGGGCTTGAACCCTGTCTGTCAGAACTCTCTCTGGTTTTCTTCTGCATGTGGGATTCTTCTCTCCTTCTGAGCTTTTTTTTTTTTTTTAATTTATTTCTAAGAGAGAGAGAGAGAGACAGCGTGAGCAGGGGACGGTCAGAGAGAGAGGGAGACACAGTATCTGAAACAGGCTCCCGGCTCTGCGCTAGCTGTCAGCACAGAGCCCGACGCGGGGCTCGAACCCACGAACCGTGAGATCATGACCTAAGCGAAAGTCGGACGCTTCACCGACTAAGCCACCCAGGCGCCCCTCTTTATGAGCTTTTCTATACGCAGTGAGGGCCACTGTGTTGGCCGACCTAGCCACATGTCCTTCCAGCTGAAGGACTTTCAGCCTCAGAAGAATCCTGAGAAGAGCTGATGGACCTGGCTCTGGTCATGTGCCCGCCCCTGGACCAGTCACTGTGAGGTGCTTCACTGGGTGCAGCTGGGCCCAGATGAGGGCCCATACTGTGATTGTCAGCTCCCACCCGAACCCACGTGGTTGGTGGGCGGGTCAGGAGGTTTGAGGGGATGCTGGGCTGTTCCCTCAGATCTAAGAAGGGGGGACGGTGTCCAGGCAGACAAAACAAACACCCACAACAATGTTCAAATCTGGACACCAGGCTGGGGTTTAGGATGGCCTCACCCTCGTCCGCCTCCAGAGCTGGTCCCACCTGAGAAGGGAGCCGCCGTGTTTCTCCTCTCTCTTGCACAATCAGGAAGCACCGAGCATCTGCGCGTCCACACAGCACAGCTCTCTGTGGGAGGAAGTTGGGCCTGCTGCTACAGGGCCTGAGATATCTTCGCGCTAATCTTGCCAGTCAGTCCCGGATTACAGCCAGATGAGCACTTAGGTGGGAGACTGCCAAATGCCCTGCAGGGGAGGAAGTGGCTCTTCAGAGTCAAAAGGTGACCTTGTTCCCTTTGACTCACTTCTGAACTGATGCCCTCTAGAACTCAGGAAGCTCTCAGGATCAGAGCACCCAACCCAGCTGCCGGCAGCCACGCTGAAACTGAGCTTGGCAATTACTTTGCTCTGAGTTCCTGGGGAAACAATGTCACCTCTCTGTCCTTATGGAGGAATGACATACTTATCCCAATGCCCAGGAACAGGAAAGGTATGGGCAAATAAACAGAAAGGCAAATGGGCACAGTGCTCAGAAGCCAGTTGAATGCCATATATATTGACTGGCCAAGAAGCCATTTGAATGTCATATATTGACTGGCTGCCTGGCTAGACTGGCTGGCTGACATTGAATGACTGACAGACACTGACTGACATTGACTGGCTGGCTGGCTGACATTGAATGACTGACTCTGGCTGACACGGGCTGGTGACACTGACTGGCCAGCACTGACAGGCTGATCCCAGCTGACTGACTGGCAGACATGAGTTGATATTGACTGACACTGACAGACAGACAGATACTGACTGACACTGACTGGGTGGCTGACAAGGTTGAAAGTGTGGTTGGAACCTGTGGCCATAGGGAGGGTTAATAAACCACAATAGTTTTGGCTTTATCTGAAGTCACACTTACTCTTGAAAACAGTGTTTGTGTGATTAAAACAAGCCGTATCACGCCGATGCCATGCTTGCTGAGGTAGCGCATGGAGGCTTTTTCCCCCCAGAGAAAGGATGGGAAGCACAGGATGGAGATGAGGTCCCTCTCTTTGCACCAGTGATTTTTTTTTTCCCGGTCTGGCCCCCTTTTCCCCTCTCTGAGACCATGCCTAGCCCTCATTTTCTCAAAGCCCTTTCTTCATACAAAACCACCTACTCAGTGACCTTTTGGGTTTCACGTTTCACCTGATTGTATGTAACTCCTCTGATCCATCTTCTTTGATTTTTTTTTAATGTTTTATTTATTTCTAGGAGAGAGAGAGAGAGAGACAGCGTGAGCAGGGGAGGGTCCGAGAGAGAGGGAGACACAGACTGAAACAGGCTCCAGGCTCTGA